GTTTAACCGAGGATGTCCCCAACATGTAACTTTTGTGAAAACAGGGGGGTTGGCGCTTGCCCAGGGAGGGGCGCGTGCCCGGGGTAATACGGTATATTTTTATTACAAACACTTAAATTATAGTGAACTTTTCTAGCAGGCAAAAATTTAATTCAAGGTAGTATCTTAACATTTATTTTGAGTACAACATACAACTGTAACTCGCGTGTGTGCGTTGTATATCCTGTTGGTGATGTCAGAGATTTGGCATGCTCATGTCCATTTAGTCACTTTAGGTTCATTACTCACTACCGGGTAATTTCTTTGGCTGGTTTCTGTTGTGAGTATGCGTTTGACTGCTTACTGTGTTGAAAAGCTTAGCAGTGGTCATGAGTTTGAATCTCATATGTTCGTAATATGCCTTTTATGTATATTTTTAATGTCAAAGTATCATTTGTCTGGGACTGTCAGGCTGATCTCATTCAAACTTAGTATTAGAGTCTCACATATGACTAAATTTTGTTTTTGTTTTTTTCTGACATGCTTGCTTATAATTTTGTCAGGGCCAAGTAAGGATTGAGCACTGCCTGTCATTTTTGAAATTGTTAACAGGGACTATGTCATTGACAATGCCTTGTTTATAATATATTATCCTCCTTCCTTTTCAGGGTGCAGCTATATTCAATTCAGCCTTTGGAAGCTTCTTAGTAAGTAAATTATTTAAAGTTGTGTTGAATTCTGCTTTAGGGTTAGACTAGATGCTGTCTATGATCGTAAGATTTTGAAAAATCTACGAATAATTATTGAATTAATCTGGAGTGTTGACTGTTGTACTGTGACTAAGTTGTTTGTTTTTTTTTCCCTCATAGGGTATTATTGTAACTCCCCTTTTACTCTTACTACTGGTAAGTACTCACTGAGTTCGCATTCTGACCCATTTGTAGGACTTTGTTATAAATAATTTCAATGGTGGATCATTTGAAGGTCTATAATTAAGGATTAGTGTTTCTAACAGATTTGAAAAAAAGAGGGGAAGAAATTGCCTCATCACTCTGATTTGTGGGGGAACTATTTTTAAATTAAGGGTAAATTTCTTTCTTATTCTGCATAAAAGATTGATTCTTTAAATCATGATTCATTTGTATCACTGTTTCATCTTTTGGTCTTCCAGCACCCATTTTCATTATGGTTCAATTTTCATTTAAATCACTTATACTAAATGCTCCTGTCATACATTAGCCTAGTTTATCAAAGTCTGTTCTTGTTTCCGTCCGTAAAAATGATGTAATATCTTCATTCCACGTCAGTGTTCACATTCTCAGCCCTGTTGAAAAACCTGTATTTCGAGAAGGAACAAATAGATGTATTCAAATTACGTATAGCATTGCTGGGGGAATTTAACATGGTGTATTTTTTTAGATCAGAGAGTAAAGACATTTACTGGTGAAATAAGCCACAAATTGCATATATATTTGCAAATACTGTTAGATTGGAGATTCCTTAAAATCATTATCCAAAAAAATAATGCTTGTAAATTGCGCATACACTATAGTGGAAGAATCCCAACAAATTACTGTGAACCCTGGATGAGAAACTAGTGAATATTTTGAGTTCTCTATGATTGTTATTATCATGCACCCTTGTATATGTTCTAACCTTTTCACCACAGATCCTTCTTTTCATCACAAAATAGTCTCGTTTATAGTCTTTCCTTCAGAAGGTTGGGACAAAAATAGTCGAATTCTTTGAGTAAAAACTGACTCAAATTTTGTCTGTTGGCTCCAAAATTAGGGTTCAATTCCAGAAATGTTGAAAATTATAAGCAAAAAAGTGCAGATGGTAGTCTGATGGTGAAAAGGCTAAATTTGCGTGTATACGCAGTAACTGGTTGGCTAGAACCATAGAGGGTCTATGCTAGAACCAATCATTCACACCTGAATAACTGTGTTATTTGCGAGTGTGACTATTAAATATACATGTATGTGCACCTATTTATATAATAACTTGTGGGCAGTGTTGTAACAGTATATTGCAAACTGGTGAAGATCCATCCACGACCTTTTGGGTTAGACATATGTGCATGCTAGTTTGGAAATATATAAAGAATATGAAATTATACTGACCTTTAGACAATGCTTAGCAGTTATATAATTTATTAGAATCCATCCATCTTTAAGGCGGTAGTGAAATTTTTATGAATATGCGGTGTCTTACTGATCTGTGCATCAAGATGCCTATAAGCAAGGTATCATGTAACATGTTTGATGGGTATCGTTTGAACTATAAAAAGATGAAGATGTCAAGAAAACATACCTGAAGGCTACTGGCAATTAACTTTACATGGATTTTTGTCTCCCTGTTTTGTCAAGTTATATTTGATATGTGGTGCATCTTTGCTAGCCAAGGTCTAAGTTTTCAGTTGCGGCTAATCATTGTCCAATCAGTTAGTGTGTTACAAATCCCTCTTTGGTGTTTCATTTTAAACAAAATGACGGCGCCCATGAATCGTAATATTTGTGATGATAAAATTGCGAAAGTTTTCGGTGTTGGTGCCCTCAAGCCTCATCAGGTACAGGCAATCAACGCAGTTTTGTGTGGGAAGGATGTCTTCATATCGACAAAACCAGGAAGTGGAATTTTGTTTTATAATTTGGTACGTCCAAGCTGATTGAGCGCATTGTTTCGAGGCGTGCCCAATCAGATCTCACTGCTTAAGATACGCAATTAGTGACAAATCTTGGTTCCACAATTGCCATAGTTGTATGTAACATTTTCCAGGGTGTGCCTTAATGTGTTCAGGAGAACCATTTCTAGCTTTACTAATCACTCGCCTTACTGTGTTCAGGAGAACCATTTCTAGCTCCACTAATTACTTGCCTTGATGTGTTCAGGAGAACCATTTCTAGCTCCACTAACCACTCACCTTACTGTGTTCAGGAGAACCATTGCTAGCTCCACTAATCAGTCACCTTAATGTGTTCAGGAGAACCATTTCTAGCTCCACTAATCACTCACCTTACTGTGTTCAGGAGAACCATTTCTAGCTCCACTAATCACTCACCTTACTGTGTTCAGGAGAACCATTTCCAGCTCCACTAATCACTCACTAAAATATAATCATCAGGCACTGGCATTTTGTTTATAACCGTGATGATCTTTGTCTGAATTTAAAACACAGCCATCACCCACTGTGATAACAACAAATAAGCCGATACTTTGGCGTGTGGCAAAACATCCGAGCTACGCACAGTCACTTGAACTCTGATATTTTTAATGAAAACTCGATATTTATTTGGCCGTATTTATCTAATGGACATGGAAACAGATTTATTAATATATATACATTTGTATAATGCTTCTCATTCCATCCATACTTGTTGGGACTCTACTGGTTAGTTGTCTACAAGTGACAGAAACAGTCATCTCCATTCATCCATCTATAACATAAAACACCGCCGATTACACATAAACAACAAGTTGGTCACACCTCGGTCGAGGTGTTAATTAGGCCGCAATACTTCAATTTACAAGTAAACTATCTCAAGCATTTCATTGTTTGGCTCCATGCCCAATTTTGAAAGTGATCGTACGCTCAACTCTGGACTGGCAAAGTCGAGACTTCTTTTTTGTTTTCCAAAAAAAGATAATTAATTGTCAATTTAGCTTTTTTTGTGTGATGGCGAAAACTAGCGTGACCGCAAAAAGGATTTCTTTCGTGGTCACGTCAGTTTTTGTGACCATGCTAAAAGGACTTAAAACAATTAATTATTTCTTTTTGTAAAACAAAAAAGAAGTCACAACTTTGCCAGTCTAGCTCAACTCGCTGATACGCTTCTAACAATGAATAGAGGAAGACTATTTTTTAATGCGTCCTTCTTACAATATTTATTTAACATGATTGCTTTGTTTTAACAAACATCCTCTCATGTTAATATGTGAACTTGTGTCAACTGAGCGTAGCTCTCATTACATTATCAGCATTCCATGGTTTGTTCCCACGCTTACTTTTAAAAGTGAGCGCACTCGAGCATTCCATTGTTTGGCTTCACGCTTACTTTTGAAAGTGAGCGTACGCTCAACTCGTATCTTCATGAAAACTGAGAAGCTCAGTTACCGTGCTCAACTACCACATAGAGACTCATTTACATACATGTAGACTGGGTTTTAATGCTAACTCATGGAGAGATTTGTTGCAGAAACAAGATATCAGATAATCGATATAAGCACTCCTGCTCCAAACTTTTGATCAAGATCTGAAGCCAATAGAAAATCTTAGTTTAGTCCAAAGTTAAGAAATACATAAAAAACAAAACCTTGCATCCACATTTTAAAAGGAAAATTGTACTCAAAAATATGTATTCTGTACATTTTTTTGTTGAAGTATATAAATTTTAAAAATCAAAATTCACAGGAATTTGTATCAGCTATTCGAACAAAATTATAGAGCTTTTATTATACTCATTTAAAAACTCACTTCAAAAACAAAGATTGCAGTGTTTGAAGATGTAGATTCTCAGGAGGCAACAGTACTGTTGACTTCTATCTCCACTGGACACCAACTAACTATTTGCAATTTATATTTGTCTCAGTAAATCATCAATTTTTGACAGACACCTGTACAAAATACTTAGACAAAAACCAGCTAAGATTTTCTAGTGTCTTGCATGTTTTACGAATCTATTCACGTCTGAATGCGGCATTTTTTCTGAGATGAGGCATTTGTTTTTATACTAAAATATCTGAATTACTTTGAATAAAGCCTGGAAATTATGTCCCTTAAAATAATTAAACAAATTAGACATGAATTTGTAAGATATTTTCATCAATCGAGGACATTCGGTAGACTGCTTTCCCACTGCTGTTTCAATCCTAAAACTTGCTTTAATTCAAAATTAATTATGACTATGCATATTGAAACAAACAGGCAACGTCACCAGAGTTCAACTATGTTTTAAGATACTGTAAAATACATAATTTATGCTTGGAATTAATTTTCCCTGAAGGAATGATTCAGTGAAAATAAAATCCAGCGAATATACCTTTTTTTCCTATATTTTACATTCAACTCCTTAAAAATCAGTGAAAATACATTCCATACAAAACACACAAAAAGTCTTTTCAGCAAAAATTAATTCCAGCTAAAATTAAGTATTTCACAGTGGAATGTGTGCATATATACACACATGCATATACATGTTTATGTTTTTTTACACAGCTGGGAGTTTCTTCAGCAGTTCCAGTTTCATCAATATTTTTACAGCTCTCTATCACAGTAGTTGCTCCATTATTTATTGGACAGGTATGACTAACTCCATTGACATTATTAGTCACCGTTCGGACGTAGTTCGAAAACGGGGACTTATGTTTCGCCCTGTGTGCGTGCGTGCGTCCGTGCGTGCATGCGTGCGTCCGTGCATCTGT